ACATGGCCATTTCAGTTTTCCTGAGCTTTTTTCTCTTTCAGGGGGATGCTGTATCTCAGCCAGATCCTGTAGGGGCTTTAGTTTGATGTAGACAGCAATGCAACTTATTCCCTAGCTTTGATCTTCTGACCTCTAGCCTCATCCTTCAGGTATCAAAATGAGGAAACAGGCTTGCCAATGTCATTTTTAACTGCCCATAAGCAGTTCACAGTAGTATAGCTTGGGATACTATAGGTTGGAATCATACAGTAAACTTACCACATTTAAAATTACTTGTTCACTGTCTTTCCCACCAGATTCTAAACTCCATAAGAGCAGGGATTGTTTGTATGATTCACCACTTAGCACCTAGAATGCTCTCTTTGTTCAATAAATGCTTCACATGAAGTAATGAATACATTTCCATTTTGGTCACTTTTACTGGAAAAACCTATTCTAGTATGGTTACCAGGTGGCTCCCAGTTTCCTTGAAAAATGAATTTCACTAGTTAGAACCTTACAGTTATTCATCTTTATATGTCTAACATTGGCACAATAATTGACCCATAGTAGAAGCTCAATCAATTCTGGATAAATGAATAAGTGACAGAAGTAGATAAATAGTGTTATAGTGTTAGTTACCATCAGTAGGTTCAAGTGGAGAGTGGTAGGATCCATACAGAAAGTTCTGGTAACATGACATTGCTGTAATTTTGGTTTAAGGCAAAAGAAATACTTTTCATTCCCCAACCTGAGCCCTAACCTACTAGTGGAACTGTTGCCCTCAAGAATAAGAAACCTGGATATCATGTCACATTGTTCTGGGAAAGTTACTTGACCTCATGGCTTCTATGAGAAAACCATATCTGTTCAAACACTGTTCAATGTCTGCCAAAGGCCGATCTTCCAACAAGAAAGACATCATTGTAAATACCTGCCCTTACCCATGGGTAGGAAACAGAAAGTTCTGGTGAATGAATAAAATAGTTTTATTCATGCAAATTACACATAAATTGCCGATTTTTAGCAAATGAAAATACTTGACTGGTAAACAAAAGCACATTTGCTATTTGCCAATTCTATAGGTTTACAGCCTCAATCTCTCTAAAATTCTGTTTCTTCATTTGTAAAATGGTAATAATAATATCATCTATCTTTATAGAGCAGGAGACAGAAAACATTCCTGTAAAAGGCCAAATAGAAAGTATTTTTGGCTTTGCGGGGCCTATGGTTTCTATTGCAACTACTCAGCACTGCCGCTGTAGTGTGAAAGCAGCCAGAGACAATACATAGATGAATAGGCATGGCCGTGTTCTAATAAACTTTATTTATGGGTACTGCAATTTGAATTTCTTATCATTTTCACATGCCACCTAATATTGTTCTCCTTTTGACTTTTTTTTTAACCAGGCAAAAACCATACTTAGCTAAGGGACCATATGAAAGCAGGTAGCAGACTAGACTTGGCCCTTCGGTTATAATTTACCAAACCCTGCTACAGAACTTCCATGAGGCATAAATTAGGTCCACAGTAAGGGCTCAATAAATGACAGTGATTGCCATTCTTATAATTATAAATTATGTAAGTGAAAACAAGAAAAAATTCAAAATAATAGATGGAGTATTATAATAACTATGCAGAAAGAAATATGCCAACATGGTAATAGTTATTATGTTAGGATGATAAAATCCAGCTTAAGATTCTTCTTCTTTAATGAGACATAAAAATTACGTTATAACGAAAACATAACAAATAAAAAGACTAATTCTGAAAACAGTTAACAATAATTACATTGGATATAAATGCAATCTTCCTTTCACAATTCAGAAGGTACTTTAGATATTTATTATGCTTGGGGATCCGTTAAGCATGAGCTAAAACTTTAGAAGACTGCAAACATAGAAACCGAGACTGTAGAGCTAAGTGCTGATCTTATACCACACTCAAGAAGCAACTTTTCAAGTAGGTCTACCTCTATTCTTCCTTGCCTTCCTTATCAGTATGATTACCACTATAAAAGCAAATAAGTCCACAATCTATTAAGGGAGCTGGGCAAGAGAACAGCCAAATACAGGTCCATGTAGAAGGAAAAACCAGCAGAAGCAGAAAAGAAGAGCATCCAACTCAGTCTGGAGGCGCAGGTGTTCGTAGTTGGGTAATTAGAGAGAGCTTCCTGGAGAGTGGAGATGGAGCTAAATTCCAAAGGAAGAGGAGAGGGAAGCCAGGAGAAGAGTGTTAAGAAGAGCATTCCAGGAAAGTGGCAGTACTGCATGGGACAGCAATTTGAGGCAATGGCTGGAGGCCAGACAGAGCACTGAAGGATTATTGAGTGTGGATGCAGGCTAGGATGTAAGCAGGATGGCGGCAGGCTGGTGCTATGGAAGTAAGCAGGGGTCTGTAGACCCTGTATATGATGCTCATGATTGGCCAGACAGAGCACTGAAGGATTATTGAGTGTGGATGCAGGCTAGGATGTAAGCAGGATGGTGGCAGGCTGGTGCTATGGAAGTAAGCAGGGGTCTGTAGACCCTGTATATGATGCTCATGATTTGGAACTGTATCCTAGTCCAAATCAAGTTACTTGACCTGTAAGCCTCAGTTATTTCACAGTAAAATGGTAAGGGTGATATCTACCTAGGAGGATTTATGCTAGGGAAATTAAATGAGATAATGTATTAGGTCATCAATATACCTCAGGATATGCTTTATACTATCTATTGACATTTGTCTTTTCAAAAACTGTTTTAAAATAATTTTCAAATGAAAAGTAAATGCTTTTCCATAAAACATTGCATTTCAAAATGATGCCTGAATTTGATAGCCACTAAGCTGTCAGAACTTTTCTAGTAGTTGAAGACTCATTCATGATGGAGAATCACGCCTACAGCTTGATTCCCGACAGTGAGGAAGACAAAGGAAAGCAGGTACAGGTTAGAGTTGGGAGGCAGCCTCCTAAATAGCCTCTGCCATTGCAAGGGACATGGAAGCTGTTATTTGCTATTTAAGAAAAAAAAGTGCAGATAGAAGATCCATCCTGATATTTTGCTTAAGAGTCAAAAACCAAAATAATTATCATTTAAATGTTGTTGGTGAAAAATCCATACTAATGTGTTTATAAAAATGATTTTTGTATTCTTGTTACTTTTAATCTGTATTTATATTTCATCAGTAATAGTTACAAAACAGTAATCTCTAATTCTTCAAACGTGGCCAAGCTTTGATTCTATATGACTTTCTAATTTGTTTTGGAAGGGAAGAGGTAAATGAAAATTATGCAAATAGAGA